AAAAGTATGGAGAGTTCTGGAACAGGTTGGTGATGACAGTGACGTTGCATCATATTAGTATGGTACAGTGGAAAAGTATTAAAATTAATATGTATCTATATGCGGATAAAGTGGACAACAACTTTCTGAAATTCCACCTTCTATTTCTCCGATAAATCTTAGTGTAAAATTATTTTATCCGGAACCTTCCAACTGCTTCGTCCCATTTTTTTAAAATTTTTTATCCAGAACTTTTCACCGCTTTATTCCATTTTCTGTGTTCAGGTTGAACTAAAGAATGCGGTTGCTGAGTTACCAATGGGATTAGAAACGCACATGCAAGAAGGAGGTGCAAATTTCTCTGTTGGACAACGACAGTTGATTTGCCTGGCACGCGCATTATTGCGACAGTCAAGAATTCTCGTCATCGATGAAGCTACCGCAAACGTTGATCCAGTGTAAGTGGCGTGGTACTTCAATGATATGACCAGGGTCTTCCCCAGATTCTACCGAGATTTTCCTGAATTTACCAGAACTTTTCTCTACTGCTATTTTCCCAGATTTTCCCGTGATTTTTTCCAGGACCGATAGTCTCATCCAGCGGACAATTAAAGAATGTTTTCGTGATGCAACAGTACTTACAATAGCTCATCGTCTACATACAATTATGGATTCCGATAGAGTAATGGTACCGTTTTTTACATTAGCTTTCTTCTTCATAGTTTGATTAGATGTAGTTCATATGTGGTTGTCCAACTATGCAGCTCGCATCATACTTGACTATTGAAGACATATTTATAAAACATACCAAAATCCTCACCTTCCATTTTTCGCATTCATTCATTCGACTTTAGTTCTTGTATTAAAATATTCAGCAAAAAGTAAAAGGCCAGTCGGGTGAGATCCGTCGATTGTGCAAACTTGTTGTGGAGATTGAGGTTGTTAAACCTGAGGCAACCTTTTTCAGGATAAAATCACCTAACATGGTAACACTTAACTTGTAGTTGCACTGCTTAATGAAATCGGCGGCTCTACACCGATATTTTCCTGTATCTTTTCGAAATCTGGCATCTTTATCTTCCTTCCAGCTTATTTATAATTTTTGTTCATTATCTTTAAAATGTCATTTCCTAAATTTTAAAAATCCATTTTTTACTTCTTATGTATCCAACCCTGTCCTCTTCCCTCTATAAAATTACACTGCTAAAAAAGACTCCTGAGGCAATCTACGTAAAAAAATATTCATCGTGGAAGTAATAATTTCGAAGATTCTGCTGGTTTCAGAGCTTCCTCATATCAGTTTTTTTCTTGATTTGTAATGTGCATTGCAGGTGTTTGAAAATGGTAAATTGATTGAATTTGATCATCCGTACACACTGCTGTGCCAAACGAACAGTGCCTTTAGTGCACTGGCACTGGAAACTGGCGAAGGATATGCGCAGCAGTTGAAGAGGATCGCTGCTGTATCGTACAACATGAAAAAAGGAAACAAAAGCAATAGCTAACAGAAGCTATTTAGAATTAATTCGTAGCAAGTACTGTGACAATTTTATAATCCCTGTTACTTACTCTGGTACTTTGTTCAGCTGTATTTTAGGTCTAGTCCTTAACCTATATACAGATATCATCTTTTCAGTTGCTTTGACCAATGTTGCATTGCTTGATAGTCAGCTTATTGCCAGTCCTGGCGGTTCTCTCGTCTCCTGAGAGGGATTTTCATTTTAACCATCATTTAGAATGTGCTTTATTTACCAGGATGGGGGACGGGGCGAATAGGGAGAGGGGGGATTACACCCACATCGAATTACCGGCAAAAACTGTGATAATTTCAGGCTCATACAACTCCGCTGATGACCTGATTGACAAATGGAATAACACGTACTTTTTTCGCGTATCCTTCTACTGCTAAAAACAGGAATCAAAAGCAAAGAATCTTTTGAAAAACTAGCCATCAGATCCTAATTATACAGATACTCCGCACTTTGGTTATCTTGTTTGCATTTTAAACAACTCACTCGATCCTCATTGTATGTACATTTTCGCATTGTTCTACGTAAAATTTGATGGACCAAATTTGTTACTTGTTGCACTTTGTGAATAATTTACAAACTGATAAAAAAAATT